CGATAGCCTACTTCCTAACCTTACTTCTTGCCCAAATTCCTGTTTTTACTCCACAGTTTGCCACACTTGACTATCTGCTATTCTCAGAAAAAAGTAATTTTCATCTCTGCCCCTTTGCACACAGTTCAATTCACCTGGCTCACCTTCTCCTCAATCTCTTGTGGCAGAAACTGTCTGTCCTTCAAGGCTGTTCTCGGAAGCCCTCCATAATCCTTGTGAATGTCTGCAGTCGCTTCAGCACTCCCTTTGTACTTCTAAGTGTAAGCAGTTATCATTTGCCTTTTATATCACGGCTGGTTGTATCTCTTTTCCCGTACTGGAGCTTACTCATCTATTTTCTATATGTGCTCGATAAGTGGTTATTGGCGTGAGACGAACTAAAAGGAGATTATAGTTGGTTTTGGAGAGTGTCAAATGCTAACTGAAGATTATAGTTGGTTTTGGGGGAATGTTAAATGTTAACCCATGCATTTGCTGGGTTCCCAACACTTCATTCTTCCTTAATACTTTTTTTTTTTAATACACTAGGTTGTTTTTAAGAACAGTTGAAATTATCAGTGACCTGAAGGGACTCACCCCCAACAAAAATTAGAAAATACCTTTAATTTTAAAGGGATCACTGGTTTTACTTATCTATAGACAATTTTATTTTTCTATCCTTTAAATTTCTTCCAAAACTCTGAAGTTTTAGCTAATTAACATTGCTTAAATGTCTTATATTTTGTATCACACATTAAAATTAACTCAAGGAAGTAAAAGTAGTCCTGAAGGTTCTTGTTAGCTATTGGAAGAAGGTAAAATTCAAAGTGTTTTAGCTAATAAACAAATGGCTTTTAATTTTTTTTTTTACTAATATGATAACTAGAATTAATGAAAGCATTAGTTAGCCTTGGCTGGTGTGGTTCAGTTGGTTGGAGTGTCATCCTGTACACCAAAAGGTTGCGGGTTCATTTCCCGATGAGGGCACATACCCAGGTTGTGGATTTCATCCCCGGTTGGGGCATGTGTGGGAGGCAACTAATCGACGTTTCTCTCATCAACTTTTCTCTCACTCTTTCTCTTTCCCCTCTTCCC